TTTCCTTCTAGGGAGATGGAGTAAGGCCGGTGGCCGGGTCTGCTGAGTCCGCAGCACTCAGACTACGTGCACCTCTGCAGCAGGTGCAGGCCCAGCTGTCACCGCCCCAGAACATCTTCCCATGGATTCTGACGCTGTTGACTCTTCAGACTCTGAGGTAGAGCTCATTCTGTAGTAGCTGTATGATGTGACATGCCTATCCAGGCAAATGGAGAAGTTAGTGTTGGTAGGGTTGGGTGAGCATCAGTCACTTCCTAATCTCCATGAAGTGGGGAGAAGCTGTGGGTGGGTCCTGTGATCTGAGAGCATAAGGCCTAACTGACAGTTTGGAACTCAGTGAGTGTTCCTGGTAGACTGTCAATTCATTCTAACAGTGAAGTCTTTTGTTTTACCTTTTGCAGTCTGATATCCTTTTGGGCATTCTGGACAAGTTGGACCCTGTCATGTTTTTCAAATGTCCATCCCCCGAGTCTGCCAATCTGGAGGAACTCCCAGAGGTCTACCCAGAAGGACCTAGTTCCTTACCAGCCTCCCTCTCTCTGTCAGTGGGGACCTCATCAGCCAAGCTGGAAGCCATTAATGAACTCATTCGTTTTGACCATGTATACACCAAGCCTCTAGTCTTAGAGATCCCCTCTGAGACAGAGAGCCAAACTAATGTGGTAGTGAAAATTGAGGAAGCACCTCTCAGCTCTCCAGAGGAGGATCACCCTGAATTCATTGTCTCAGTGAAGAAAGAACCTTTGGAAGAAGACTTCATTCCAGAGCTGGGCATCTCAAACCTGCTTTCATCCAGCCACTGTCTGAAACCATCTTCCTGCCTGCTGGATGCTTATAGTGACTGTGGATATGAGGGCTCCCCTTCTCCCTTCAGTGACATGTCTTCTCCACTTGGTACAGACCATTCTTGGGAGGACACTTTTGCCAATGAACTCTTTCCCCAGCTGATTAGTGTCTAAAGAGCCAGCCAGCACTGGGCCCCTTTCCTTGACCATTACACTGCCTTAGAGGATAGCAGAGAAAGAGTTCCTCTAAAGTATTCTTTTCAACTTCATAGACGACTTCCAAGTATTGTCTTTTGACACCCAGCCATCTAAGGTATTCAAAAAAATCGTAATTCTAAACTACAGCTTTTGAGAGATCTTAAAGGTGGCAGTTTGCCCCACAGTACAGGAGAGGGTCATTTGACAGTTATCCCCAGGCAGGCTTCAAACTATGTAGCTGAGGCTGGGCTGGAACTCCCGACTCTCCTGCCTCCACCTCCCAAGTGCTGGGTTTATGCAGGTGTACACCTCCACACCTGCCTCCTGACATGTCTGAAAGTGGACTTGGGGTTTATGAATGGCCTTTGATCATTTCTCCTCCCTGCTCTTGGCTTCCCAGGTTTTTTAGTTTACTTCTACAAGCAAACAACAACCTGAGGGGCTTGTTTTTCCTTATGTACAGTCCAAGTGAAGATCAAGAATCTTTGTTAAAATTACAGAAATTTACTATGTAAATGCCTGATGGAATCTTCTTGCTAGTGAAGCTTCTGGAAGGTGCTTTCTCCATTTATTTAAAACTACCCATGCAATTAAAAAAGCAATGCAGCATCCTTGTTCTGTGATTTCTAGGGGTGTTGTATTTTCTCTTCATTGTTTGCTAGGGAAGAGTCAATTATCCACCTGAAGTGAGTGTAGCACTTTGTAAAGTCACCGAAAGCTTTTCCCTTTGGATTACTGCTTCCACTCCTGACTGTCATAAATGCCTCAGTCTACTAAGTGGCAGAGGTAGAACCCTACGCACTGGGTTTTTTTGGTGGTGGGTGGGCAGTACTGGCTTATTAAACTAAGACCTCTGCATGCTAGGCAAGCGTTACACCATTGATACAGCCCAGCCTCCTTAACTACCGTTTTGCCATGAAATATCCAGATTTGCCACGATCAGGGCATCCTCCTTGATTTCAACTCTTGACACTTTTCACCCAAGTAACCCAGGGGGACAGATAATCAATTACAACTTGGAAAGATGGACTCTTAAAGACTGAACAAGACTTGAGTTATATGTACCTCACATCTGACAGGTGTCATCCTATGCACTGGGAAGTTGTTTTATCTCATGATACACTTTGAAAGTTTTTTGTTTTTGTTTTTTTTTTTTTTTTGGTTTTTCGAGACAGGGTTTCTCTGTGTAGCTTTGCGCCTTTCCTGGAACTCGCTTTGGAGACCAGGCTGGCCTCGAACTCACAGAGATCCGCCTGGCTCTGCCTCCCGAGTGCTGGGATTAAAGGCGAGCGCCACCACCGCCCGGCTTTTTTTTTTTTTTTTTTTTTTTTTGGTGAAAGGTTTTAATTCCTCATGGAATCTCCATATAGGGGCTTATTTCACAAGATTGGGCTGGGGGTGTAGCTCAGTACAGTGCTTGTCTAGCACGCATGAGGCCTTGGTTCCATCTCTACAACCAAAATAAATGAGCAAATCTAATTAGGAAGAAAAGGCCTAAGGGTGTATATAAATGAGCTACCAAACTCCAGAGACAATGACATCATCCTTTATGGTGTGTGCATTCTGTCCTGGGGAATCTTAAAAGATGGCAAACTTCATTTCATCCATATAAGCAGATGAACTCACTTCACCTCCATTTAGCATTTAAATATATCTTCCCTATTAAGGTTCTTTGGGGTGATCAAAATAAACCTACAGATAGAAGGAAGAATTCTGAGTCCAGTCAGCAGGGTCAAGCAGGCTACAGCTGTAGACAAATACAAGGTCATGTGTTGACTGCTATTGACAGGAGGGGTTTTCACATGCACACTCGAGGGCATGTCTGGATAGGACCTGGCTGGTAAGTCTGTCACAGCCCAATCCAGTGCTCAGCAATGCAAGCTCACTTAGACTGAGTACCAGAGTGTTGTGAACATAATGACCACCTGCAGCTGGCCTGTGACTGAAAACTATCTCACCTTCTTCACTCTGGAATATTTAAGGACCAAGAATCTATTTAAGGTTTATACAGGCAGACATGTGTGCCTCCATCCACAAGAGCACAAATATTTGTAGGTTAAGACTGAGTCATTCACATTTCATAGCATCACATCGAAGAAGTTGCTGCTGTGTCAACAGGACAGAACAGAGCGAAGATTTCGGGGTTTCATTTCCTGCACAGATGGCCAAAAATGCCATCAGTTTTGAGAAAACACCTGGTTTTCAAGGGCATTTTCCATATTTAAACACCAAACTGGCTAGATCCAAAAATTAACATTTTTTCTATGAAACCAAATACTCTATTAAATGTAGTGTTATTCCAAAATTCAGACCAAAGGTGAAGTAATGGCTACAGGCAAAACCCCTGGGACTCACAAAATAGCTATGCATCTGCCTCCTTGCTTTTCTAGATGAGATGGAACTTAACAGACACGTGACCTACTCCAGGAGCACTTCAAAATATCAGTTCAATTCTGGTTGTCTAGGAACTTGAGAAACTGTCTTTACTCTTGTGACTTTAGAGATATCTATATTTTTGTATACATGTCCACGTATAGGTATGCATTCTCATGGGTACCCGTGTTGGGCCAGGGGTCAGCATATCTGCCGCAATCAGTATCTACCTTATTTTTTGACACAGGCTCTCAAAATGAACCTGGGGCTCACAAATTCAGGTAGACTAGTTGGCCAACCATCTCAGGGATCCTCCTGTGTCTGCCTTCCCAAGTGCTGGGATGACAGATGTGTATCCCCCCACCCCTTTAAAATGAGTGGTAGGGATCTGAACTCAGGTCATCCTGCTTGCAAGCCAAGCACTTTACCGACTGACCTACCACCCCCAGACCCTGTTTGTTTGAGATAGGGTCTCATGCAGCCCGGGCTAAGTTCAAACTCAATATGGAGCAGACAACGATTCTGAACTTGGGATCTTCCTTCATCCGCCTCCCCAAATGCTGGGATTATACAGGGCTGTAACACCTCACATGCTTTACTCTTCTGACTTAAATTTTTATTCTTTGACAACCTATTTACATGTTTTAATCATATTCATCCCATTATCCTCACCTCCCTCCCGATGAACCCCCTCTTCCCAATAACCTCCCTTCTATCTTGTACGCATGTGTCCCACTGAGTTTAATTAGGTTGCTTATGTGAGTATGGGTGGGCGGTGGGCAACTTACCAGCGGCCACACCACACAAGAAAACGACTCTCCCTTTCCTTGCAACCCTCTTGACTATCATTCATGAAGTAAGGTGAGTAGATTACCCCCCAGACCAGTACAGAAGAGTCAACAGCAGTGTCTTGCAGAACGTCTGAGTTTCAGCACTGTTCAAAATGCCACTCTAAAATGCCACTGCTAGTCTAAGAACTAGGGGACTAACAGAACCAAATCAATACACACAAACCTGCATTTTCTCGAGTATCTATTCATCTTGTATGCAAACCCTGGACCCAATGAGCCGGTTAGATATTGAACTGTCACCATCTATTCTAATCTTAGTTTCCCACCTGTTATGTTGGATAACTTTTACCATGGTTCTCAAATTTTGGTTAAAATAAAACAGCATCTTGTTTTCTGCAACTGCAACCCAAAGATAATACTCCCTCCTCACCAGTCAGAGATCTGGTTATCAAAGAACTGTAAATATGCAGGCAATACTGCCACCCAGTGACCTATCAGCTCTTAGCAGAGGAACACTATGCAGCAACATCACAGACTTTGCCTAGTCTCTGTCTAGATTCCAAGCCCTCAAAGTCCACATATGAACACTGAAGGATCAGTCATGAGGGTCAGCATCAGATGGTGCCCAGCAGTGACCTGCTCAGGCAGGCAGAAGAGGGCTGCTGACACATTTAGGAAGGTAAAACAGCCTGCCTATTCTAGAAACAGCTCACTTTTAACCCAACAGTATCAAATTTCAGGACAAATATAAGTTTTCACTGATAGGAATCCTGCCTTAATTAAAATTTAAAGGAAAGCAAGAAAAAAAAATCTTTCATTTCCATATGTACAGGATTACAGATACTTTAGAAAGTTCAAAACACTTGTGTTTTATTGAAAATAACAAAATACAGAAAAACCAGATTCTCATTCTTAAAGCACAATTGACAGCATCATCCAGAACATTCTTAGTACTGCACCATTCTTGTCACTATTAAAGTCAAGGTCCAGATGCAGAGTAGCAAATGAACCTGCTAGTTAATGTTCCTCTGTGGTTATTCGAAGTCCTGTCCTACTTGTTCTTAAATTTTATATTTTTATCTTTTCAAGAATGAACAGTTTTTAACCGATTTAAATTATAAGAACTGGATTCTCATATTATTTCTTCATATTAAGAACAACAACAACAACAACAAAAAACCAACCCCCAAACCAAGAACCCAAAAAGAAACAAACCGCCCCCAACTCAAACTCAGAGAAATACACATTTGTTCACTGAAGCTCACCTGCTTTAGAGAATTGCTGACCTTAACACATTAGCATACTGAGCCAATGTTTGATCCATGCTTCAAAAACTATATAAGACGAAGAAAAGACCTGTTAATTTCTTAGGAAAACCTTAAGGCAAAGCAAAAGCCTTATGCTAGAAAAGAAAACAGAACGCAGAGGCATCAGGGCTGTGGAGACAGTCAGATGAGTCAGCACCACAAGGATGAAGATGATTTTTGTACAAACATGTGCAAGAAGATAAAGTCCAAAAAGGAGCATGAACATCAACTTTCCTGCAGAAATAAGGATCATGTCAGATAAGGACTCCTGAAAAGTCTGTTTGCATCTTCGTTTAAAGCCTCCTCTATTCTCCAGTGGTTACCAAATGCATCAAAGCCGTTTCAGGCCTTTGAGAAGAGGCAGTCCTGGTGTTCTGTGCCCTTTGGAAAGCTGCCACTTCCTTCCCACTCACACTGGCTAGCTAACTCCAAACTCTGTGTAGTCCCTGCATGCTTCTAAATTGTACTAAACTTCTTAGCAGAGAGATTTTTTTAAGGCTATAAACTTTGCAAGTTGGTCCCATTAAACAAGGCAGGAGTTTTCAAATGACATGAGTCAAACCTTGCACATTTCAACAGAAGACAGATTTCATTCACCTCTGAGTCTGAGATGAAGAAACAATTAGCTGGTTTCCAACTGGTTTCAACACTGGTTTGAAGCTTGAGTAATTTTATTGTGTAGACATAAATATTTTGTTTAAATATTAAACATTAAACCTTTTCCTGACATCCAGACAGAAATAGAGCAAGAACAATCGGCGAGAGAAGAGACAGTCCACTGAACAGACTTGTGACTCCTATGCCATCCACAGGAGGGATTTCCGCATGGGTTGTAAAAATGCCTGCAAGCTAGTTTCTAAAAATTCACCTCTACTTGGCATAAACCTTTTCTTTTTTCCCCTACAAAGGGAGAAGAAACCCAGACAATGAAAACCGAACTGAGGTGTTCTGCTGTCGCAAAGGGCCAGCACACTCACCCCATCTTACAGACTCTCTACAGCGCTGAAGGATTGCCAAGTCTCCCATTACACGACCTGCCATGCTGAAGAGCTCTTCCTGAGAAATTAAAAACTTTAACCCTGGTTATTCCCAAAGAACACCTTGAGCCTGGTTTGGGTTCTCGAAGATTAAAGATATCCCGTTGGCAGGAGGCCATCTTCCATTAACTTTGAGGCTTATTGTACAATAGCTTAAGCACCAGACAATGAGCTATTGCAGTAACTCTCCTTAGGATGCTTGCCCATTTATTCTCAGCTAATTCATTGTTTTCAAGACCAACATTAAAAACCTCAACTTGCTAACACACATCCAACCTTCCCTTTTTTTTTTTTTGGTTTTTCGAGACAGGGTTTCTCTGTGTAGCTTTGCGCCTTTTCCTGGAACTCACTTGGTAGCCCAGGCTGGCCTCGAACTCACAGAGATCCGCCTGGCTCTGCCTCCCAAGTGCTGGGATTAAAGGCGTGCGCCACCACCGCCCGGCTCCCAACCTTCCCTTTTTAAACTCTAGAAGCTATCAATGCTGGGTTTAGCTGACACTCACTGCATGTCCTCAGGATTCATGAAAAGACACTTCTCTCACAGGCAGTTTACAAAGGGTTCCCTCGCACTTTTAATCAATTACTTAGTTAACTGAGGTGTAAACATTACTGACCAACTGAGCTCAGCAGTCATTAGAGGAGACCAGGGCTACTGCTTGAGGAATAACGGCTACACCGACCTGACGCCAACACTGGTTTCCTTGCCTGTTCAGTTCCTTCGCAAGAGACTGAACTGCTACTTTCTTCCTCCCGCTCCCCAAGCACAGTTACCACTACAAGCTCGATACAGGTCTCGGCTGTCAGGGTGCAGTGGCAGTTAGGAGCATTCCTCTTATAATCATCTTCACAATGAATGGCTTCAGCAGTGTGACAGATGGTCACCAGAACACATCCAGCGTCTATGGTTGTCTTTAAAGAGACTGTAACATTTCTTGGATAAGCCTGCTAGAAAACTGCATTTCCCTTGAGATAAGCTTCCTTGGCAAAAAGTTGAATTCAATAAATGGCTACCCACAATGACATTCCCACCCCAAATCACAGGTGGAGATATTACACCCGTTTCATAAAACTTTCAGGTCCCTATACTATACAGGCAGGCTATTACTGAACACAGGAGCCTTCTAGAACTTGCCAAGTTGGAGCAGAAACTGGTCTCTAGAGCTCCATCTCTTCCTCTGTGTTAGCAGCGGTCTCCAGACTATGGTAAAGTGGCGTGTCTGTGTGCTGGGGTTCCAGCAACAGTTCAGTTCTCTGTGGAAAGGCAGTGCTGGCAGCTGCACACTTCCTTTGGCTCTCTCCTGCGTAGTTCTTCGGGTTAGAGGATGGCTTTGGCTTCTCAGGAAGGAGTTCAGGGAGAGGTTTCCAGAGCACAAGCTCCATAGAAGGACGGCTCCTGGGATGTAAAATACAGAATTAAAAAAAAAAAACAAAAAACAAAAACCAACTTTAGGACATGCAAATCTGTCAACAAACTCCTGTTCACTACTCAAGACCTTCCAATTAAGAGCTAATGGTCCTCACAGTGCCAGTCTGCTGTTCTTTTATATCTCTACCCATTTAATTACTGCCACAGTTTCACTGTTATTTTGATCTTGATGTCTCTCATCAGTTCTCATTATATAAATTTTAATCTTTTAATTAAAAAATAAGTGTTCACTTCAGCAGCAGATACACTAAACTTGGGATGATATAGATTAGCATGGCCACCGTACAAGGATATACAAATGCATGAAGCTATCCATGTTTTGTTTTGTTTTAAAAGAGAGCTAGAGCAGGGCGGTGGTGGCGCACGCCTTTAATCCCAGCACTCGGGAGGCAGAGCCAGGCGGATCTCTGTGAGTTCGAGTCAGCCTGGTCTCCAAAGTGAGTTCCAGGAAAGGCGCAAAGCTACAAAGAGAAACCCTGTCTCGAAAAACCAAAAAAAAAAAAAAAAAAAAAAAAAAAAAAAGAGCTAGAGATAATTTAGAATTCAAACTGGACTTAAAAAAAAAATGTGTCTGTGTCTGTATGGGGATGTGACAATGTGTGCGGTAGGTCCCCGAGAAGTTTAAATTCCCCCGGAGCTGAAATTACAGGCAGCGTGAGCCACCTGATGTGGGTGTCAGGAATCAAACTCTAGTCCTCTGCAAGAGCAGTATGTCCTCTAAGGTTGAGCATTATTCCCAGGTCCTCAAATACAGAGTTTCACAGTTTCACACATAATTCTTTTTTCTCGGATGTGCTGGAGAGTGAAGTCAGGACTCACACATGTGTAAGTGCTCCACTTCTTAGTGATCTCACCAGCCCTATTTATATGTTAAACCATGAACAGCAGCACTATAAACATCCAGGTGAAAACCAAGGCCCCTGAGCCAGGAGTAATGGTACATGCCTTTAATTCCAGGACTCAGGCGATAGAGGCAGGCAGTCTTCTGTGAGTTCAAGGCTAGCCAGGTTTACATATCGAGTTCTAAGATAGCCAGGGCTATATACAGAGACCCTGTATCAAACAACAATAAAAAAGAAAGGAAGGAAACAACTAGGTCCCCAGATTTAATTTAAAGCTACAATTTGAAGTAGGGATGCTGGAACTAAGGCCCCACATATACTGAGGACCACTGAGTTACATCACTAGCTATAATGATGCATACACACAGACATGTTTTTAATGAGCAGATCTGTATAACTAGTTCTTTTGTTTTGGTTTGTGGTACCGAGTCTCATATAAGCTGTGCAGTTGCAGCACTACACTATTTTCCTAGCCCTGTGGGTGACTGTTGCATATTAAATCATTATAAAATAAAAAAATGAAATCCTGGACCAGCACATTAATTTCTGATGCCTTTTGTTTCATATAGTTATGAAGTAGAATGCTTTGCAGTTAAACAATTACACTAGGTATGCATAATCATGTATTTTCCCAACCACAGCTGGGATAGTGCCTGTAATCCCAGCACTTGGGTGGTGCAGGCAGGAGGGCCAGAAGTTCTAGGCTAGCCTGGGCTACATGAGAATCCATTTCATTTCCAAAGTAGAGAAAAGGTTCCTTACCCTTGGTATAGGGAAATCTTCTGGGACCCAGAAGTAAATAAGAAAAACAACAAAAACAAAAAAAACCTACAATGAAGAATATTCTCAAAGGCCTAGTTCTGGCAAGCTACTAAGAGCAGCAGACACTATTTTGAGCAGGAGGGCAATGTGACCTGCATACATAGTGGCTACACTATTTACACACCCTCAGGGCTGAGTAGTTAATTATAAACTTGAGCTAGGGCCTGACTGAAAGCTTTCTGGATCTCCCAAGCAGTAAGTAGCTGAACTGGTCTCACTCCACCTCTGCCCAGCACTACTGAGGTCTGGGTCCCGGGAGCCCTTTTTGCCGTCCTGGTTCCTCCCGGAACCTCTCCCCTTAGTCACTACTCGGCCTGTTTTCTCACCTACTGCTCTGTGTTTCTACTCCGATGATATAACAAAGCAATTAGCCGAGCTCATTGAACTACGGGCTTATTTTCTGTTTTTCTTCTTGTGGTGGGTGCTGGGGATGGAACCCAGGGCTTTACTCCAGCACGAGTCACTTCCCTGGTCCTATTCATTGTTTTTGATACAGTCTCAGTACATAGCTTAGTCTGGCTTGACACCATCACATTCATCTTAAAACCGTGTTACATTTTGTCAGTCTTTCTTTTTTCCTTTTATTGAGACAAAATCTCACCATGTAGCTTTGGCTGGCCTGGGATTCACTTGGAGATCAGATAGGCTGAAAACTAATACCTCTGCCTCTTGAGTGCTGCTGGGGCTCCCTGTGTAGGCCACAATGCCTATCTTAAATTATGCTTTAAATCAACAGCAAAAGAAGTTGAGGCAGGAAGACTGTGAATTTGAACCTAGCCTGGGCTACAACACAGTAACCTCCCACTCCCCAAAACAAAACGAGCTAAATGCTCTAAAATGGCCCCAAAAGGCTGTGCTATGGTTTGTGGGATTTGGGATAACTACTTCAACTGTTACTCATTTGACACGTCATTTTCTTAGGCCTCCATGCTACGTCTGAGTAACTAAAAGGAAAAGAAGGGGTTGGAGAGATGGCTCAGAGGTTAAGAGCACTGGCTGCTCTTTCAGGGGACCTGGGTCCGATTCCCAGCACCCACATGGCAGCTCACAACTGTAACTCCAGTTTCAGGGGATCTAACACCATCACACCAATGCACATACAATTAAATAAAAAAAAAAGAGGTTTTTAAAATGTGGTTTCTATTCCTCCTTAAGAATTTAAGAGATGGGCTTCTGACACAGACCCTTTCCCAGCTATTGGACCAGTTAAGTGGTGTCCACAGAGGTTTCCTAGTGAGATCTGAGCGTGCTTTACACAGCAGGGCTGCATAAGGGGATGGACTGACCACATGTGTGGTTACCGTGTGTTTGGAAGGGTCTGCACTTGGCTGAGCTAGGGGGAGGTCTTTTTCTCCATCCCTTGGCATTCTTTAAAAAGCCCTTTAGAAGAGACAGAAGGGGCTGGTGGATAAGGATCCAGGCCCTCCTAAGGCTATCCTGTGTTTCTATCTGTCTCTCTCTCCCCTCTATATTTCTATCTAAATCTCTTATCCCTCACTCCTCAAGAGTGCCCTGGGGGAAGGTGGTGGTGGATCCCTCACAAAGGGGAAATGTTATGCACCATACTTACATGGATTCAATCATCTTCTTTGTGAAGACTTCATCAAATTCCCTCTTCAAACCCGTTTTCATGGTGTCAGAAAGGACAAGACTTGGGAGGTGGCTAACATTCCTGTCACTTTCAACCTCTTCATCTTCGTCAATTATCCTAAATAAACAATGAAGCAGAAGCAGAGAAAGAAAAAGAATTAGTCAAATTTGTTCATTTGAATGAACAAAGTTTCAGACTCAGAGAGTAAAGTCACAGGCGCCATTTGTAAGAGACCAAGCAAGGTATACCTCAGAGCACAGTGACCAGGAGGCCACTTTTCTCCTCCTGGGGGGAAGAACTCTGCAGTGATTCACATAACACAAACGTTTTGGAATGTGTCCTGGAGAACTGACCCTGACGTTGTCAGTAAAATGCTGAATTGAGCTGTAAGAGCTCGCTTTACCACTTCTACATGACCCTCCTGACCAGCTTGAGAGAGAGCTGTGACACAGGAGCAGCAGCAAGCCTTGCAACACACACTCTCAGTACCTGTCCTCAATCTCCTGAAGCCTCCGGCGGGCAACTTCACACTGTGGTTCTGCAGTTGTCTGATCCATCTCTTCACAGACAGCATCTAGCATGCTGGGCACAGGAAGGCCACCAGAACACGCATTCACCCCATGACCGTCTATCCCCTGGTGTGTGTCAAGAACCCATTCATTAGCAACTGCAGAGAATTCAGCTTCAGTCAATCGCTTCTTTCTTATTGGACACCTAGAAGGAAGAAGTGGAAAGCAGTAGGAAGAAAGGGAAGGAGAAAAATTAAAACCCCCATTACAGATGAAATTTAAGTCATTTCTCTAGTCAATTAAAAAATAATTCTTTTTTCTTGAGACAAAGTCTCATTACGTATCCTTAGTTGGCCTCATTCACAGAGTTCTGCCTGCCTCTGCCTAGAGTGCTGGGATTAAGGATACATGTTACCATGCCCAGCTCAAATTTATTTGTTTTAAAAAGATCTATTTATTTTACATTTGAGTGTTCTGCCTGCGTGTATGAGTATCACGCGTGTGCCTGTGGAGGTCAGAAGAGGTCTCAAACCCCCCGGAACTGGAGTTATGGGCATCTGTGAGAGACCATGTGTGTGTCTGGAATTGGGCCTGAGGGTCTTCTGCAAGAACAATGCTTTTAACTGCTGAGCCATCTCTCTAGGCCCAATTTATTATTATTCTTTTGAAATCAAATTCTTAAATACAAACATCTCTAGTTTTTTCTACAGCTAGAACGTCATGTCTTTTTCCCTCATAGCTTCCCTGAGAAATTTTCTTCTATTTTTTACCAATTTATGCAACACCTCCAAGACTTTAACCTTTTAGATTAAAGGAAAAGATCTGTAGGAAAGATCAAGTGGGAAGCAAAGCAATAAAAGACCAAATAGAGCTGGAGAGGTGACTCAACAGTCAAGAACACTGGCTGCTCTTCCAGAGGACACAGGTTCTAGTCCCAGTAGCCACAAATGTCTGTAATTCCAGTCCAGGGAATGAATTCTACACTGTCCTGGCCTCTAAGGGACCAGGCACATACCTGGTCAGTGCACAGACACACACACAGGCAGACCACCACACAGTCAAAAGACAAAGCAGCAAGTCGGCCCCAGCTGCATGCTGTCACTGCTGCATCACGTTATTCCCTGACCCACAGGACAAGTGGCTGGCTACCACCCTGTATCTCCGTACAGCAAACACCTATCTACTAGAGTCCGCTTCAAGTACCACAAGAACAGGCCATTAGCACAAACCTCTTGTCTTTGGCTAGCTGTCCTAATAATGGGATCTGCCTTTCTCCTAGGATAACATACCCCATCTGCTTCCTGGCTATATTAGTACTTAAGAGAGACTTGAGAATTCAAACCCAGCTTCTTCCTTTTGTAGATACTTGGCAAATAGGGCCAAGAAATGGTCAACTGACCTTCCAAAGTGTCTGCGCAAAGGAAAGTTGAATGTTGAGGAGCAGAGCCCGAGACCCTGAGTTCTGCCTCTATGATGTTAGAGAGGAAGTTAACTGTTGAACACTTACCACGAGCTCCTATGTCTCAGGACTACAATGTGCACATTGCTGGCTAACAGCAGAAAGCAGCAAGGAAGACAGCTAGCTGGCTGTCGCCTTGTTTTCCTTTTTTAAACAAGTGTCTAGACCACAGGCTCTCTACTGCATGGCAACAGTGGGTACAGCATCAGGACTAGATCACAGCCATGTAACCAAAACGCCCATTCTTTATTCCCACTTCAGATTCTCTAAACTGATGGTCAAAGGAAATGAATGAACATGTTCATAAGGGAAGAATTTAACGGGTCAAAGGAAATGAATGAACATGTTTATAAGGGAAAATTTTAATCCACATTAACACTGTGAAAATCAATTATTAAAGTTTCTGGAATATAAAATCTGAGAATAATGCCCTCTTAAACCTGTATTTATTTAAAAGAAATCAGAATCCACTATATATGTTTGCTTTAGAGTTTTACCTCATTAGAAAGTACTAGAAATATCTAGGAGAAAAGAGGCAGGAGGATCTGGAGTTTAGGGCCAGAATCAGCCATACAAAAGTTCTATTAGGACAGCCTGAGTTACATGAAATTCTGTCCCCAAAAAAAGCTTTAAACTGGGTGTGGTGATGCATGCCTGTGAAACACCAGCTAAGGAAAAGCATAAATCAAGAGAGAAGGGGCAATATCCCAGAGCACCTAACAATTCATCTATGAAACAGTTCTTTGATTTTTGGGTTATTTCATGCCTGTAGGTTTATTTTGCTAATAACTGAAGAGCAATCGTGATTAAATGCTAAAGAAAATGTGAATTAAAAGGCTTCCAGGAGCTGGAGAGTTGGCTCTATCAGTTAAGACCATGCACCGCTTTTGCAATACCCAAGTTCAGTTCCCAGCACCCACATCAGGTGGCTCATAATCACCCAACTCCAGTTCCAGGGGATCCAACACCTTCTGGGCTCTATCAGCATACATGTGTGAATGCATGTTAGAGCCGGGTGGTGGTGGCGCACGCCTTTAATCCTAGTACTCGGGAGACAGAGGCAGGTGGATCTCTAAGAGTTCGAGGCCAGCCTGGTCCACAGAGTGAGTTCCAGGACAGGCTTCAAAGCTACATAGAAAAACCCTGTCTCGGAAACAAGGAAACAAACAAACAAAAAACAAAACCCAACAATAATAACAACCAAAACCCAAAAAGGAATTTTAAAGAAAGGCTTCTAGATAGTGAGAACAATAAGGTGGCAAGCTCAGCCATGTACAATTGGGCATACATCCAAATGTCTAAGCCACTGCCTTTAAGGCCTCAATCTCTCCATTCACAAATCAAAGGTAGTTAACTTTTTAAACCAATAGCTTCCACCACTACCACCCCACCTCTGCCCCCAGGGTTCCTCTGTGTAGTCCTGGCTGTCCTGGAACTCGCTCTGTAGACCAGGCTGGTCTTGAACTCAGAAATCTGCCTGCCTCTGCCTCCCGGGCACTGGGATTAAAGGTGTGTGCTGCCACACCTGGCTTAGTTTCTACACTTAAGCAAACACTAAAATCAATAATTCAACAGTCTAGAGCACTACAAAAGACAAAAAAGGAGCCCGGGGCGGTGGTGGTGGTGGTGGTGGTGGTGGTGGTGGTGGTGGTGGTGGTGGTGGTGGTGGTGGTGGTGGTGGTGGTGGTGATGATGGCGGCGGCGGTGCATGCCTTTAATCCCAACACTCGGGAGGCAGAGGCAGGCAGATCTTTGTGAGTTCGAGGCCAGCCTGGTCTACAGAGCGAGATCCAGGAAAGGCACAAAGCTACACAGAGAAACCCTGTCTTGAAAAACAAAACAAAGGGCTGGAGAGATGGCTCAGAGGTTAAGAGCACTGGCTGTTCTTCCAGAGGTCCTGAGTTCAATTCCCAGCAACCACATGGTGGCTCACAACCATCTGTAATGAGATCTGGCTCCCTCTTCTGGCCTGAAGGGATATATGCAAGCAGAACACTGTATACATAATAAATAAATTAAAAAAAAAAAAAAAAAAAAAGAAAAACAAAACAAAGACAAAAAAGGTTCTTGTGCTTTCTATGGCAATCCTAAGGCAAAAACTCCCCTGATCTAGGTAGGTGTTTTTAATTTAAGGCAATTCTTTGGACTGGGGTAAACAGCTGGTGGGAAGAGTGCTTGTCATGAAAAGTATGAAGACCTGGGTTCAATCCCCAGAACCAACATTAAAAAAGCCAAGAATGGTAACTTGTAATACTAGCAGCAGAGAGGCAGTGATAGGAATATCCCTGGGCTCTGCTGGACCACCTCACCTCAGCTTACATAGTGAACTCCAAGCCAGTGAGAAACCTTGCCTCAAAAACCAGGTGGGCAGCTAAAAGCACACGCTGGTCAGAATGAAAAAAGAGTATACTTGTAAATGACAGGCAGGCATAGTAGCCCACTGTAATTATAGGGCTCAGGAGTAAACAGGGGATTCACAAAGCAAGTTAAAATGCAAGTTCTGGGATCATCAAGTGAGATACCCTGCCTCAAAATATTAACAGGAAGAGCGACTTGATAGCGTAGTGAGACTCTGCCTCAAAACAAAGACGTTGGATGATACTTAAGAAAGGACATCCGGGGCTGGAGAGATGGCTCAGTGGTTAAGAGCACTAGCTGTTCTTCCAGAAGTCCTGAGTTCAATTCCCAGCAACCACATGGTGGCTCACAACCATCTATAATGAGATCTGGTGCCCTCTTCTGGCCTGCAGGCATACTTGCATACAGAACACTGTATACATAATCAATAAATAAATCTTTAAAAAAAAAAAGGACATCCAAGATTGACTTCTGCTTCCCCTCCCCCAAGTCTACCTTCATTCACTCACTCAGTCACAAAACACAGGTAACCTGCAAGCATTGCTTTTTTTTTTTTTTTAAATAATTATGAGTCTAAGCATCAACAAATTTGCCAATTCAAAGTTTCTTTTAACTCTTTTTAAGCCAGGGTCTCATATATCCCAAGCTGGTCGCAAGTTAGTATGTTATTGAGGAAGGCTCTGAACATCTGATCCTCCTGCCTCCACCTTCCTCCAAAAGCTGAGATTACTGGCTTTTGTTTGTTTTGTAGAGTCCAGGGCTGGCTGGGATTACTGGAGTGAGACATCATCCTCAGAGCCAGCTTCCAAATGTCCTCTACCTTCCACATACCCACGATAGCATTTGTGCATATGGGTAATGAGTAAGAAAAGAAAGCAGGTGTCGAAGCATGGTGGCATTTAATCTCAACAGGCAGAGGCAAGCAGATCTCTAAGTTCAAGGCCAGCGGGCTCTACATAGTGCGTTCCTGACTAGGCAGGGTTACATAGTGAGGCTGTCTTTTAAAACAAAACAAAAACCAACAGGTAGACCTCGTATGCACTTATTTGGATTAAGCTCTAAGACAGTAAAAGAAAACAAATAACAAAACCCCCATGCATTGCAGTGTGAACAGGTATCTAGCTACAAAAGTCAACACTGAAGCACACACAGCCATAAACTGGACTATTTTCCTAAGGAGAAGTAAGAAACGGGCTACAAGGTTACCTCTGTCAATAACATGAACCCTTTCCAATACATATCCTTTGATTTTTCTTTTCTTTTTGTTTTAAGCTGTGTCTATAACGACACAGTTAAAAATTCAAACATTACATTGGCTACAGAGTGAGTTTCCCTCTACCTGCCTGCCACCCAGTTCCTGCCCCAAAAAGGCAAACAATGTCACTTGTTTAAAGAGATACACATGCTTCACCTTGTTCACTTAAAATAGGACACACGCGTTAAACTAACAGCGATCACAAAGGGGACAAATGGTCCCGAAACTTACTCATCATCCTCCGCCAATCGCTTGTGTTTCTTTCTACAGTGAATGGAAACACTGTTGGGACAAACAAAAACAAATCAGTCAATCAAGGCAGGAACTTAAATTTAAGATTTCGGCAGCCCGTCGTTCTCGCTCTACATAATCGGCATCTCCCGCCACAAACTGCATATCCCTTCTCTGGCCGTGAGGGACCAGCACCATTCCCAAGATCGGTCACGTCTTGCGGAGGACTCCAAACAACCAGACAGGGAAATCTGAAGTTGTCACTCGGTCGGGGCAGTGACAGTTGAGCACTCGCTCCAGGACCCATTTCTGTCCCCACACTGCCGACGAGGAACCGCCGTGTCCCAGGGGCTCTCAAAGTTGTCCCGGCCGGCGGCCGCGCGTGCAGAGGGAGCGGCCAGGCCGAAGGACCCTGGGCGGGTCGCCGGCCGTGCGACCCGGGACTCACGGTTAACGTCCCGCGGGGTTAACGGGCCCGCCCCACCTGCTCCTCACCGTCCGCGCGCTGCTCTCCCGCCCGGGCTGCTGGGCGCACCGCGGGCGCCCGGCCGCGGGGCCAGGTCAGGGCCGGTGGCTCCTGGCGGGAAGGCCCGGCCCGCGAAGGCCGGCGGCGGCTGCAGGAAGTCCGCGCTGCCGCTCAGAGGGAGGCCGCTGAAGGGCCGGCCGAGCGCCGCCATGGCTTGAGACAAGGCTGCGTCCGCCGCCCCAGTCGCTAGTGTGTCCCCAGCTCCCGCAGTGGCGGCCACCGCCGCTGCCCACGAGAACCCGCCTCCGAGCCCGCTTCGACCCCCACGTCACGCCTTCTAGAACCCTCCACTCCGGACCGCCCAGAGACACGTCGGGATTTGTTGTGTATATAGGGCCGCTGTCGCGAGGCATGCTGGGAGTTGTGGTTCTGGAGGACTACAAGCAAGATGGCTGGCGGTGTACTCAGCGAATCGCCCCCACAGGTCCCTAGGCTGACCGAATCCCAATTCCCGACACAAGCTGGGCGTGGTAGCTCATGGCTATCTTCCCAGCGCTTATATGGTGGAGACAGGATGTTCAAACGTTCTAGGCCAACCTTTGATTATGTTGCATGGTCTAGGCCAGCCAGGTCTCCATGAGACTCTGGGACTCTGTCCCCCCTCACTCCCCCCAAAAGGTTGTACGCCTCTGTTTCTTCTGTAATAAAACAGGATAATCAAAGTGTTTTCAGAGTTGAAGTGTGAAGTTAATGAATTACCCTGTCTCGAAAAACCGAAAAAAAAAAAAAAAAAAATCTGAGGTGGAGTGGCACATGCCTTTAATTCCAGCAGTCCCAGGGCAGAGGCAGGAGGATCTCTGTGAGTTCGGGTCACTCTGGTTAACATAGCAAGTTCCAGGCAGCCACGGTTACATAGAGAGACCCTGTCTTAAAACAAAACAAAACAAAAAATGTCTAGGAGTGGGACCTGACAACTGGAAGACTATTAAAAAGTAGTTCTCTAACTTCCACCCAGAGGTACACACACTCACTCTCATGCACACATACAATAATAATAAATAGAAAATTAAAAGTCAATAAAAATCTGGGAGTGGGGTGTGGCTCAGTGGTAGGACTGAATGGAGGGGTCCCAAAACAGCTTAACCACACAGCAGCCATGACAGGCTTCGAGGCCTAGACACAGCTTCTCTGACTGGCAGGCAACACCCAGATCCAGAAAAAGCCTTAAGCTGATACCACCCAGGGATGAGGAAGTACCTAACATGCCAAACGTTCCAACCATTAGATAAGGTGGCTAGATGTCCTTGAGTCTAGCACACACCTATTTTTGTTTTATAGATACCCCTAGACAATTGTCAGTCAATCAGGGTCCTGGACCCTGGAAATCCCCTCACCCCAACCTCTGCTATGATAAAAACTCTGCCCCACCTGAGCTCAGGGCTCTCTGCTCTCACCGATGCTTCAGATAGAGAGATCAATCTCAGAGCTTGAAGAGAATAAAGGCTCTTTGCTTTTACATGCGGGACTCGGTCTCCATGGTGGTCTTTTGGGGGCCTCAGTGATCTGAGCATAACAGTACAACACCACAAAAATTTAAGTAAAGTAGCTGGATATGAGGGCACATACCTGTGACCCCAGCAATGGGCAGACTGAGGCAGGAGAATTGTTTGCGATCAGTCAAAGCTTAGAAAACTGTCTACCATACATGCATACACACTTAATACTGTCTTTCATTTCTTTCTGTGTTTTAGCGCAAATGAAGTTACTGGATCCCATGGGCAATTAATAAAATCCTCACAGAGATTGGTAGAACAACTGGGGGTGGGAAAAATAAAGTGCATCCTGGCATATCCATCCCTGGTTAACAATGTCTCCTGCTTAGGTTGGACAAACAGGGTAGCATTAGTCAAACCCATTACTGGTCATTCCTCATTTTTTCCACCTCAAAGAATGATCCAATCTGAGTTGCTTATGCCACTGTCAATGCCATTGAGCCAAAGACTATTAAGAAATAGAGTGGGCCGGGCGGTGGTGGCGCACGCCTTTAATCCCAGCACTCGGGAGGCAGAGCCAGGCGGATCTCTGTAAATTCGAGGCCAGCCTGGATTACCAAGTGAGTTCCAGGAAAGGCGCAAAGCTACACAGAGAAACCCTGTCTCAAAAAACCAAAAAAAAAAAAAAAAAAAAAAGAAATAGAGTGGACTTAATAAAGTCAGTCAGGCCGGCGGTGGTGGTGCATGCCTTTAATCCCAGCACTCAGGAGGCAGAGCCAGGAAGATCTCTGTGAGTTCGAGGCCAGCCTGGTCTACAGAGCGAGATCCAGGAGAGGCACAAAGTTACACAGAGAAACCCTGTCTCAAAAAACCTAAATAAATAAATAAATAAATAAAACAAAATAAAAAATAAAGTCAGTCAGTGTCTTACCCAGGGGATGTTGAGTTAGTGTCAAGTGATTTGTAGGAAGGTTCACAAAAGCGACTTTGTACAAGCAGGTTGTGGTGGCACAAGCCTGTAGTCCCAGTGTTTAGAAGGAGGAGGCAGGAAGATCTTTAAAATGTAAGGCCAGCCTCAGCTATGAAGGAAATGTAATGGATGTATGAGACCTTATTTCCAAAAACAAAAGAAAAGCAGCTTTGACTAGAATGAATTGTTAGGAATTGAGGATAATCTTTTGTTTTGTTTTTTTCGAGACAGGGTTTCTCTGTGTAGCTTAGGGCCTCTCCTGGAACTCACTTTGGAGACCAGGCTGGCCTTGAACTCACAGAGATCCGCCTGCCTCTGCCTCCCAAGTGCTGGGATTAAAGGCGTGCGCCACTACCGCCCAGCCGAGGATAATCTTATGACTGGATATTTGGATTATGTTTTTTCCTTAGAAGATAAGTGTGGTGATATTTTGAACAAATAAAGCTTACCTGAAGATCAGAGGTCAGAGCTAGCCATGGAGTTAATTCACATAGAGGTCAGGCTGTGGTGGCACACACCTTTAATCCTAGCACCCAGGAGGCAGAGGCAGAAGTCTGTATGGATCTCTGTGAGTTCAAGGCCACACTGGGCTACACAAGATTAATCTAGTCTAAAAGAGAAACAGAACCAGGCAGTGGTGGCACACACCTTTAATTCCAGCACTTGGGATCACACACCTTTAATTCCAGCTCTAGGAAGGTTGAAACAGGAAATAATATGGCTGGGCAGAGAAAGGAATATAAGGTGGCAGGAGACAGGAACTCAAGTTCTTTCAGGATGAGGAGTTGGTGAGGTAAGAGGTGGTGGCTAGCGCTGCTTCTCTGATCTTTCAGCTTTCACCCTGATATCTGGCTCCTGTTTTTAATTATAAGACCATTTAGGATTCATACAACAGTTACCTTTGCCCAAATCAACATAAATTTTGCTCACCTGTATAAATGTGATTAATATTCTGTTCATTATAACAGGTCCCCAGACCTTAGCATAACTGACACCATGATGGAAGTACCATTTAGGCCTTGGTACCCAGCACGTAGGCAGCAACATTTGCCAGAAGGAGAACAAAGATCTATTCCATCAAAATCTGTAGTTCTGGGAAATCTCTAAATGCATTGTCTTAGTTTAGGTCTTTATTTCTGTGAAGAGACACCAGGACCACAGCAACTCTTTAAAGAAAACATTTAATTGGGGTGGCTCTACAGTTTCAGAGGTTCAGTTTATTATCATCATGATGGGGAGCATGGTGGTATATAGGCTGACACGGTGCTGAAGCATCCTACATCTTGCAGGCAACAGGAAGTCAACTGACTATTACACAGAGCAAAGAGACCTCAAATTCCGCCCACACCGTGATACACTTCCTCCAACAAGGCCACACCTCCTAACAGTGCCACTTCCTTTGGGGGCCATTTTCTTTCCAACCACATCTACTAACCTTGCTTTTTGGCTTCTGTAGTTCTGCTTCTGGCTAACTATTCTTATTATCTGAAGTATGTCAACACAGGATGTGGTTTCTATGCTTAAAAGCTCACCTGGAGAAAGGTTGGGGGCTACACTGGGATCCCAAACACCCAGTGTAGTCGCTGGCTGGCTAATAAAACTTTCTATTGGCTTTAACCTGTGTCTGAGTAGTCTCCTCTGGTGGATACCTCACACAGTTCATCTCTACTATTGTGGATGTTAAATGTAAAATGAGGCAATGATAAGCTACAATAGATTATTTCACTTTTTGTATTTGTTAATTTTTGTTTCATAACCTAAAATTTGGTGTATTTTAGGGAGCTTTCCATGGTCTGCTGAGAAAATTATCTATGCCAAAACCATTGAATTGGACATTTGGTAGATGTCTATTAATTACATTTTATCTCCAATAGACTTTGGTTGTTATTTTTGTAGAAATTAAAAAAAATTTTTATGAGTACAGAGGTTTGCTTGAATGTGTGTCTGTGAACAACATACTGCCTGGTGCCCATGGAGGCCAAAAGAGGGTGTTGGATGGCCTGGAACTGGAGTTACAGGCAGTTATTGTAAGCCTAGGTGAGGGTCCTGGGAACTGAACCCAGGTTGTCTGAAAGTGCAGCCGATATTCTTAACCACAGAACCATGTCTCCAGTCCTGTGAAGTTTTGCTGTTTCTTTGATGATTTTTTTTTTTTTTTTGATTTTTCGAGACAGGGTTTCTCTGCGTAGCTTTTTGCGCCTTTCCTGGAACTCGCTTTGGAGACCAAGCTGGCCTGGAAATCACAGAGATCTGCCTAGCTCTGCCTCCCGAGTGCTGGGATTAAAGGCGCCGCCGCCGCCCGGCTTTTCTTTGATGATTTTTTTTTTTTTTTTGAGAAAGAGTCACTCTATAGCCCTGGAGGTCCTAGAACAAACTATGTAGACCAGGCTAGCTTTGAACTCACGTGCATCAACCTGGCTCAAGTGCTTAGATTAAAGGCTCAAGCCACTATGCCAGGCTTTGTTATTGATTTTTTTTAAAGCAAAAGTTGGTCTAATGTACTGATAAGATTAGGATATTGGAGTCACTATTAATGTCTCAATCTTCTGATTTTCAGTAGTTTTTCTGTTTTTATTATTTAATATTTTGGTGTTTTTTCTTGTGTAAAGCTCTCTCTCTCTCTCTCTCTCTCTCTCTCTGTATGATATATATATATTTGTTTTTGTTTTTGTTTTAGATTTATTTATTTATTGTATATACAGTGTTCTGTCTGCATGTATGCTTGCAGGCCAGAAGAGGGCACCAGATCTCATTACAGATGGTTGTGAGCCACCATGTGGTTGCTGGGAATTGAACTCAGGACCTCTGGAAGAGCAGCCAGTGCTCTTAACCTCTGAGCCATCTCTCTAGCCCCATGATATATTTTTTTAAAGATAGGATCTTACTATGTAGCCTGATTGTCTTAGAACACAGTATGTAGGCCAGACTGGACTTGAACTGACAGAGATCTGTCTGTATCTACCTCCTGAGTTCGGGGATTAAAGATATGTGCCAAAGCACTAAAATAATCTACTCAAGAAATATACAGACAACCAATTAAGCGAATTAAAAGTGCATGAGTCCTGTACTAGACAGCGCCTAAGAGGGGGCTCATGCCTCAAAGTTTCTTGGTGCAGAAGGTCAGGGGTACAGGGGTTTTAAAGGAAAAATCCACAAAAATCATCCTTTACATAAATTAGTTGAGGGTCAGAGTAACCTTGAATCATTGGTTTCTGGCAGAACATAGCAATTATTTTAGATATAGTATGACAATTATTTTTGACATACCTTCAGGTATTACACATTATAAGTTTGTATGAGCCTTAATTATTTGGTGAATACAAATGGACCCTGGTAAAATACATGGACTATCAAATGTGAGGTAAAGACAGACATTGTGAGGGTGAGAGCTAAGCAAACCCAAAGAAAGTCAGGACGAGATGGCATTACCTTAGTCACCTCAACACCTAGCCTATTGTATCTTGTTGATGGCTTGTTCGCTGTGTTAATATGTACAGAACATCTTTATCTCAAACATCCTCTCTATATCCCAGAATACCGAGGCAAGCAGTTTGGGACACTCATACACCACCTATGTATTATTCAAGACATGGCATTACCTTTTCAACAATAAAGCCATACTTCATATTAAATTAGGAGAGGGCTGACAGAGGGGAGACAGGAGGAGGGAGACTCAAGGCAGAAGATGGGAAGGATGAATGTAGGCTACAGGGGATACATTCCTAGATTTCTGGGCATCTGCCCTCATCGGACTACAAAAGGACTAGGGAATGGCTCTGGCAGTTTTTGGTAAATCAATATTTATTCATCACACTCTAAACACACAAATCTCTCTTCAGGCAGGTATACAGAGAGGGCAAGTGTCTACTGCAAATGCCGCCCTGGAGTCCTAGTTCTCAGGAAACTCGCTCCATGAGCTGAGGAAGAACTTCAGATTCCTCCTGCCACCACTGTGCTTGTTATTGGTTCACAGTGTGGGAAAGCTCCAGGCTGTGGTGGGCAGGGAGATGGAGAAGTCCCTTGTTGTCCAGAAGTGTCACCCCTGCTGAGAAGGGTCTCATGGCCTAGGCTCAGGACTTGTCTGATGGGCTGGCAGTATCCGTGATCTGTCCTTCCTCCAATGAAGAACTCCGAGAGTCATTCCCAGTCAGCTCCTGGGGGTCAGCCATGAGGGCTGGGACAAGCCAGCCCTCAGCTGGGAAGGCAAAGCTAGCTTGGTTGGCCAGGCTGTAGAAGGTCTGCACCATGGCACTCAGAGACCCTGAGAGCTGTGTGAGCTTAGAGAGTTGCTCCTGGGTGAGCAGGAAATGACGCTGCTGGGCCTGCAGCTGAGCTATGTCTCCACAAACAGCCTCAGACATTGCCCGAAGAGAGAGCACTAGGCTCTTTCGAAGTGGCGGTGGACTTGTGTGCGGAGGTTCTGGGCAGCGGGCTAATCCTCCTGGGTGGCCATTGGCTTCTGGCTCAGTGTTCTTGGCTGGTGTCTTTTGTCTCTCTTCTGAGTGGGAGGTACCCTCATTTTCTATGGAAAACCATGAGCATGAGAGAACCACCAGAGAAGCTCCCACCCACCCTTGTTCCAGAACCTTCTCTAGAGCCTTCAGAACCCAGGGGTGGCTGTCTGCTCCTTCCCTCTGTGGCAAGCAGAGCTGAACCTTTTTTCACATCCTACATCCTCTGAGAACCCAGCCTCTCTTAGGTGCTCAGAGGCATCCAGCCACCTTCTAGTCTGAGCCTTATGTAAAGCACATGGGAGCTGACCCTTTGGGGAAAGGAAGCACTTACCCATTTTGACCTGTGTGGAGTCCTTGGAACAGCGTTTCCTCTTCCTGGTGTTTTCCATCATCTGAGCTGAAAATTGATTGTGTGGATAAAGTGAGTGTCAGGAAAAAAACTTTAGCTACACACCCCACACGGCTAGCCCATCCTGAACACACAAGAAGCCGAGCATGGCCCCCAAGCACTTGCTGCCCAGCCGTTGTCCAGAGCCAGGAAGTCTAGGGACCAGGAAGCCTAATAGCTCTTGGGGCCATGTAAGGAGAACTCCAACCTCCCCGCTTGTCACCCTCACCCTAGAAGAGGCAAAACCTACCTGATCCATCAGTGTCCTCTCTGGGACTGCTCTCTGACTCGCGGGACTTCCCCTCAGTCTCACTTGGCTGTGATCCTAAAGCCAGAGAGAGTTTAGGTCGCAGGCTGCCTTGTCCCCTACAGTCCCCAAGCCTGTGACTGACCCACCAGGTTTATCACTCCTTCTGTGAACTCAGAATTTTCTGCCAGTCCCAAGGGAACTAGGGACTTACGTAAATTTGCTTCAGATGACCACTGTTCAGTCCTGCCCTCCCACCCAATCCGCCCTCCCACCCAATCTCCCCCCCACACTTCCTACCAATCCCTGTCGACCCTCCCAGCTCTGTGGCTGTGACACTGCCCTCTGTCCACCCCCACGGGACTGGCCCCCAACATCTGTGCTTTGTTCACAGGTCTCACTGCAATGAGAAGCCAGGTTCTCCCCCTTTTCTCTCAGTTGGTTCTCCTCACCTGAGGTGCTGCTTTCAAAAGTGACCTGTTCATCTGTAGGTGGGTGCAGTGGAGGGCAGGAAGGGTCTGGGTCAGGGCTTCCTGATTCCACGCTCATGTTGAAGTGAAAGGCAGAATTTCCCTCTTCCCTGAACAGAAAGAATGTGGGTTAGTGTACTTGTCAGGAATCTCTAGAGCAACAGAACTTCCAGAATGAACCTCTCTCTACATATAGAAAGGAAATCCATTAGAATGACTTACAGGCTGTGGTCCAGCTAATCCAGTGATGGCTGCCTGTGAATATGAGGTACAAGAATCCAGTAGCTGTTCACTGCTCAAGGCTGGATGTCTCAGGTGCTCTTCAGTATGTGCTGAAATCCCAAACAAGTAGGCTCTGAGTCCAGTGAAGGAAGTGACTTGCTAGCAAGCAGAGGTAAGCATCCAAATAGAGACACTTGCTTCTCCAGAGTTCTTTATAGGCTTCCAGCAGAAGGTGTGGCCTGGATTAGAGGAGGGGCTTCCACCTTCAAAGATCTGGATTAAAGGTGTGTTTTACCACCTCAGAGATTCACAGGAGAAGTTGACCTTCCCACTTCCCTGATTTAATTAGGAAAAAATCCCTCACAGGTGTGCCAGTCAGTTTTGGCTTTTATTGAATTGCAGATGCAATCAAGGTGACAACCCAAATAGCCATGACAGTTAGCCTGCCTCAGGTGCCTTTTGTAAGTCCCATTCTTGGGCAGTGCTCCCTCATTGGCTGTGAAGCTCCCTCATTCCTGTCACTCTTGAGGCCTTGCCTAAAGAAGCACCTATTTTTGTTGGACTTGAGTCTCAGATAATGATGAGGTTTTTGTGATGTAATTACCTGATGACCCAAGATGGATAGCAAAGCCAGAAACCCAGGGACAGGGGACAGAAAGTCAGTGGTTCACACTCATTCTTTCTCCTCTTTCCACCGAGAGATAGGAAGTGAGAGCCAAGCCTTCTAATATATGAATCAAATCATCATTCTATCGACAAGTATATGAATGTTCTGTCCAAGAGGATCATCTCCATAGCAGTCCCTCGCACATATTCAAATTGTAGACACGTTTTAAATTTCTCATACACTTAGCAATGACACACAGAAGGTTGCAGAAGGATGTTTTAAACACACGGATATGATAATGTAAAAATACAGGGGTAAATATAAATGTGAAATGGACCCACTCTTTTCTGAAACAGAGTCTCACTGTGTAGCCTCAGTGGGCCTGGAACTCACTCTCTGAACCAGGCTGGCCTGAAATTCACAGTTTCCTGGGTCTCTGCCTCCTGAGGGGTAGGATTAAAGACCTCCACCAGTACTCCCAGCCCACACTCCCCACCCTGAAACAACTGGAGATGATTAGATCCAATGGGAGTGCATTAAATTAAGTCAGCCACCATGAAGACCTCACCAAATACTGAGGACTGGACACCAAAACTCAGGCAGAAACGCTGCAGAGGTTGAACAACCACAGACTGAGGTGAGCCTGGGCTACGAAGCAGGACACAATTTCAAGAGAAAAGGAGAAAGGAAGGAGCTCAGTCAGTGAGTCAAGGGAAGAGGAACACTTCATCTCAGCTCAGTTCCACCCTCCACAGTGTTCTGGGAGCCCCATGTCCCACATCTTGTGGTAGGGTCTGCCATCTGTGTTCACACTTCTCCAGGAGTTTTTCATCTGATGCCTTTGGTCCTTTAGGCTGAAAACAAATTTTGAATGTCAGCACTTCGACATTCGTCTCCAGACACTTCACGGACCACTTGTCTGTCTTGTTGCAGAAATTAATTCCCAATCCTCAAACCTGTCCTTTGTATAGTTTGTGGTGTCTACTTGATAACCAACCACATTCCCCGTCAACCCAGGCAGATTTTAAATGTTTAGGTCTTCGGTAGTGATTGTAGTGTGAACCAGATTTTGCCCCATTAAGTATAGAGATGACTTTAATTTCTCCATGATTTGGGCTCTAGTGAAGAAACTTTAGAACCTGAAACCATGAGACCCACCCACACCACTACAGCATTGACCACAAAGCCTCTTAGATGTTACACTGTAGTGGTGAATACACACAGATGTTACTGCAGAGCTGCTCACCATAACTATGTCGTGGGCCCATCCAGCTGTCTCAGGAGATGGAAATGCACAATGAAAATGCGATATGTAGCACAATGAAATCCTTTCCACCCATGAAGACGAACGACTTCATGTCCTGCTACAAAAAAATGGGTGGCGCTGGGGATAGTCACATCATGCATGGGGATAATCACACACGACTGGCTAGTCTCAGAGAGATAACTATCAGGGTTTCTTTTACTGTGTGTGATTTTTCTATCCCTGAGTGTGATTTCCTAGCGTTTATTTGATCACTTTAAATCATGCATAGACCTATGAAGTGTAAGTATTTTGTTGTTTTGCTAGAGGGGGTGTTTTTAAACTCCTTTCTAACCATTTATTTGTCTCCATAGATCTGTGCAGTTCCCACCCTTGATCAGAGAAACTTACTGCAGAGGCTACGTTTGGTCGATGCAGAGTCAATGCTGTTCAAATGCTGAGAAAAGAGACCGCTCAGCTGTGGGTGGGACAGTAACACCCACCTCCCTCCTGACAAGGCTCAGGGAACAAGGAAGTGAGGGTGGAAGAATTGTGGGAGCTCGAGGATGGAGAAAAACTCTGTCAGAGGCTGGCTTCTGGGCAGGACATGGCTGATCCACAAATGCACACCCTCATAGCAGCTGTGGTTATGCCCACAAGACCTCCACAAGAGCAAGAGAGTTAACAATCCCAGAATGGGAGCTCGGCCTTGTCGCACAACCCTTTAATCCCAGCACTGGGAGGCAGATGCAGGCAGAGCTCGTTTTGGAGGCCAGCCTGGTCTACATAGCAAGTTCCAGGACAGTCTGGGCTACATAGAAATACCAAGTGTTAATTTTTAAAAATCCAGCATGAGGCTGGGGAGAGGGCTCAGTGCGTAAGAGGCACTGAGGATTGTGGCACTTTGAGGATTTGAGTTCTGTTCCCAAGAGGCATGTGGCAGCCTACAGCCACCTGTAACTCTGGCTCTTCTGCACTCCTTAAGCACCTGCACGTATTGACACACACTCACAGACACACATAAAAATAATAAGAATTAATCTTGAAAAGCATTCCAGAATAGAGGAGTGGGACTCCCAATGCCCAGTCTGAGCTGAGGAGCTAATGGAGGTTAACAGCTTGGAGGGGCAGCATCGTCTTTATTGGGAAGGGGCAGTGAGAGGTTGCCTAACCCACACTGGATGACCCCACAACAATGCACTGGCTGGACTTAGTGGGTTATCAAAAACCAAACAAGCAAAGTGGGGCTGCAGAGATGGTTAAGAGTGAATGGAGCTCTTCTAGAGGATGAGAATTCAGCTTCCAGCGTTCACATTGGGCAGCTCACGACTACCTGTAACTCCAACACTAGGGATCCTGCACCCTCTTCTGGCCTTGCAAACCCTCCTCAACACTCATGACATACACAGGCACAGGCACACAGACACATACATAAAAATAAAAGTGAATCTTTTAAAAAAAGACATGAAGTTCAGAGGGAGATGCTAGCTATGTGGGGAATGGCAGATGGAGAGAATTAATGAGGGTGGGAATGACGATGACACCTTGTATACCTGAATGAAATTAAGAATTGAAAATTAATTTTAAAAAATTTAAATATCTTTTATTTAAATAAAAAATTATAAAATAAAACTTATAAATTTTTATTTAAATAAATTACAAATAAATATGTGGTGGTATTGTGTTCCCCAAAATATTGTGTGCTCTAATAAACTTATCAGGGGTCAGAGAACAGAGCAGCCACAATATTAAACATAGAGGTTAGGCAGTGGTAGCACACACCTTTAATCCTATCACTTGGGAGGCAGAGATCCAACTGGAGCTCTGTGAGTTTAAAGCCACACTGGAAACAGCCAGGCATGGTGACTCACACCTTTAATCCCAGGAAGTGAGCCTTTAATTCCAGGAAGTGATGGCAGAAAGCAGAAAGATATATAAGGCGTGAAAACCAGGAACTAAGGGTTAAGCTTTTAGGCTTTTGAGCAACAGTTCAGCTGAGATTCATTCTGGATGAGGACTGAGAGGCTTCCAGTTCGAGGAAACAGGATCAGCTGAGGGATTGGCGAGGTGAGGTGGCTGGGGCTTGTTCTACTTCTCTGATCATTCAGTGTTCACCCCAATACCTGGCTCCAGGTTTGTTTTTATTAATAAAACCTTCTAAGATTCGTGTTACATAAATAACTTTAAAAGATTTATTCTTTGTGTCTTTTACATCATGCCTCCCAATCCCACCCGTCTCCCTCCCCACCTCAAAATAAAACAAAATAAAATTGAAGAGACGGGAGGCAGAGGCAGGCGGATCTCTGTGAGTTCGAGGCCAGCCTGGTCTACGGCGCGAGATCCAGGAAAGGCGCAAAGCTACGCAGAGAAACCCTGTCTCGAAAAACCAAAAAAAAAAAAAAAAAAAAAAAAAAAAAAAAAAATTGAAGAGAAAAAGAGGGGGAAAAAAGGAAAGAAAAAAGGAATAAGGGGAAAATCTCATCATGGAAGCTGCAGTGTGACACAGCAAGTCACGCAGTAAACCCCTTTATCCACACATCTTTACATGCAGCCATTTATGGAAAAGAATCATTGGTCTGGTTCGAGCCCCCTGTCTCTGCTGCACCATCGAAGCTGGGCCCTCACTGGGACTCTTCCTGGACATCCTGTTGCAGCCCTGGGTCCACAGGACTGCCCTGCTTCCTCCCCACCCCCACTGCCATGCTCCAGCAGGTCACAGATGGCCGTCAGTATGATGAGTCTAAAGCAGGGGCAGAAGCAAAATAGAGTGTATCAAATCATGGTGCCCACCCTCGAGTCTGGTTTGAGAAACCCCGCCATCAGTTCAGCTGCCCTCTTGCCTGATGACCCAGGGCTTGTCTATGACTGTCACAAGATGAGAGATGAAACCAGGTACATGGAACATATAGTAGTTACTTTAATCCAAACAATTTGGGACCAAGCCAGGTACCTTGGCCGGAGAGCAGACCTGATTCATCTGACCCAGGCTCTCAGACAGGGGAAAAAG